ACAGGTCAGGAAGACAGGGGACTGTAGGAAAACTCAGAGAAACAAGATTACGTGAGGAGAGTGGAGGGGAATAAAAAAAACAGCCCCCAGACTGTACTCCAGTAGGAAGTACAATGTAGGAACAGAAAAAAAACACCTCAGCAATAAGCACATAGTCACCACAGCTCACAACACCAAAGTCGAGACTTGCAACAGGGGTGGGGAATGGGGAGGTGGAGGTAGTCCAGCATAGACAAACAGCTGTCCGGTCCTGCAGCCAAACGGCGCTGTACATAGACCCGCTCGTTCACGCTGGGGGTATGAAGCGGCGAAGGCGTGGGATGGGGGTAGGGTGTCCTTGTGGTTGGGGGAGAGGAATGCAAGAGAGTCTCACTGCCTTGTTCTTCAGGGGGAGATGTTGAGCTCAGCAGAGGCCTTGGCCAAGGCCCGTGCTGATTAGGGGGCAGCCAAAAGCAGATAGAATGGGGTTGTTTGGGTTTTCAGGCGAGAAACTGTAATTTCGCAGCTCCTCTAATTCAAAGATACACCTTGAATTTAGACTTTGTCACAGGTTTAATCCTAAATGGCTTTTATATGCACCATTATTTATGTCACCACATGTTTATTATTGAAAACACAAACTTCCTTCTGTATTGGATTAGTCAATGTATGTAGGTTATAAACCTGCCCATTGACCACCTCTATTTTGACATTTCTGTAACAGTAGATACAAAAGTAACCCTGCTCTTACATTTACAGTTCAATATCAGCTAGTAAATGATTATTTGAATACATCTTACCCACAAGAAGTGGGTGTGTGGTACAAAACAACTGTATAAATTAATTGATTATACATGGTACATACATCCATCTTCGATAACTGCTTATTCAGGGCAGGGTTGCGGTGACTCTGGAGCCTGGACAGGAAGCAGAGGACAGGAAGCAGGCCGAAGCACTGGGCCTAATTCTGGTTAAATCTTATCTAAGTATTCTATAAAATAAGAGAGGGAGAGTATATCCATTCATCCTTTAAAAGCTTACCCTGATCAGAGTAATAGGGGGCCTGGAACCTATCCCAGGCAGCACACCCTGGATGGAATCCCATCCCATCCTGGTACCTACGCACCCACACACACTACAGGCAATCTACAGACGGCATTTAGCATAACTGCAAATGTTTGAACTTTGAGAAGAAAACCCACACAGGCAGAATCCCCCCAAGTCTGGAGAACCACCATGTCAAAAGAAAAGTATAGCCAAATAAGAAGAATACTGTATCTAGCTCATCAGTACTTTATTATAGCACAGTGTTTCCCAATCCGGTCCTTGGGGGCCCCCAGACAGTCCACAGTTTTGCTCCCTCCCAACTCCCTGCCAGACAGTCCACAGTTTTGCTCCCTTTCAGCTCCTGGTTACCTGGGGTCCTTGAGGGCCAGGTTGGGAAACACTTAGCAAATCAAATACAAAACAATACACTTTGAACATAAACAAACCTTTTGGCTTATAAAATAATTTTACAATGATCCTTTGCATTAGTGTATATCATGTTCCGTGTTCTGGAAAACTTTTGTAACAACTGGTTTTTTAACTTGAGTTCTGTAAAGCATTATTTATCCATCCATCCATTTTCTGAAACCATTTATCCTAATCAGGGTCATGGTGGGTCCAGAACCTATCCTGGAGGCTATGGGCGCACGGCAAGGAACATCCCAGGACGTGGTACCAACCCATCGCTGGACACACTCACACACCATTCACTCACGCACACTCACTCAAATTAAGGCAATTTGGTAACTCCAATCAGCCTCAGCATGTTTTTGGACTATGGGGGGGGGGAAACCCCACAATGACACGGGGAGGACATGCAAACTCCACACACATGGAGCTGTGGTGAAAACTCGAACCCAGTGAGGGTTTTAGGCAACAGTGTGAGGCAATAGTGCTAACCATTGCATCACTGTGCTGCCTGCATGATTTATTCATAACCCAGATGCATGATTTAATTTCATTATTTTATTTGGTGTTTTATTTTATTCGATCTCTGCTAAGCCTAGTAGTCATGGTGAAGGCCCTAGCCTCTGCTCCACAGAACAACCAGCCCAGGCGCAATGTGGCTTTCATGTACCAGGCCTAGCCAGCTAGCAAAGCCACAACCTGATCCCCAAATGGCCATGACTAACCACAAAAGAGTCCCAGAGCACAGTCAATGCATTTTCGTGAGTTCTGACTATAATAAGGCAGGCAATTCTGGGATGTATCCAGGTGGTAATATTAGTATCCATAACAATCCTGGGGGGAGACACTTTTGGAAAGAAAGGTGCTGTTTTTCATACAGTGGTGTACGGTGACAACCAAAATAGAGGCAGTTGGCAACAACTACATATAACATGTTGTACGCTTCGAAGTTACTTACAAACTGGGGTAGCTGAAACTGGCAAAAACAATGTATTATATATCACTATAGGACGTTCATGTTAAAATAAATTTGCGTTTCAAGACGCTAATTTCATATAGAATAATGAGAAATAATAATGCGTTACACATGTCCTACACCAACTGACAATTTTGTCTGAATCAACATTGCTGAAATTTATAACTCACGAGCACAACTGCAACCTCTCCAAGTAGCGGAGACAGTATGTCCCACAATGCATTGCGATAGCCTGACAAGTGGATCCAAGATGGCGTAGAAAGTAAAGGTAGGTAAGTATAGACTTCCCATTTTCAGCCGCTTCAGTTTGCCTTTTTTCGCCGCTGTTGACCAAGTTTGCAGTTCGTTTGTAACTCAGATGTAGAAAACATAAATCAGGACAGGCCTATCTTAATGCAGGGAATTCTGACATGTTTATCGTTTGGAGATAAATAGCCAACCTAAATAACAGGCCTGCGTACCGCTAACTTAGCTGTTCTGTTCGTTCGTGCGAGCTCGACTCGGGGCACTATTTTCCCCATTTTTTCTTTGACGTGTAGTCAGTACTGTTCACCTCTCTCTGGAGCGACTATGTTTTCGGGCCAGGAGGTAAAAGGAGGCGCGGGTAAATTGACAGGCCGAGTCGCTTTTACCTCGGGAGTTTTCGAGGCGCGAGTGTGTTGCGCAGTGAGTCCAGAGAGTATCACCACTTTTACCAGCTAGCTACACTGCAGCACTGGCTAAGCGGCTAGCATACACAGCATCTGTGCTACCTCTGCCTTTGGCCAGATGTCGAGTGGGAGAGGTGGTAAACGTGAATACGCAGCCTGGCTATTAATGCAATGCCCGATTCCCGTACCCCCCATCTGAGGGTCGTTCCGGTAAACAGGACGGACAGTGCCAATACAGTGTTAACATCACACACTGTTTACGGTGTTATCTCCCCTGTTAGCTATGTTGTTTTTCTTCTTCTTGTTGTGTGTATGTGTATTTGTGTGTTTTTTACGATGGACAAGGAGCAGCTCTCAGTCGGACATAGATCTATTATTAACCGACCCCGAATCCAAAGATAGTTTGTTTATATTTTTATCGCTGTCTAGAAATGACCTTTTATGGCGTGATCGCGTCAGACAATACCTTAATTAATTAAAGAAAATCTAGCTTCATGTTTTAAAAAGTGATTAGCCAGTTGGCAGGCATTTCATGTAACCACGCAAGAAAAATGGTCGCACTTTCAAGTTCCAATATTTTGCTGGTCGAAGAAGTTTAGGCTCCTGGAAGATGATGACTCGGGTGCAAAATTAGATTTTAACTTTTGGTTGAAGGTGCAGTTAATGGTCACTGCTAGGACTAAGGTCAGGCTTAATAACACGTTTTGTAGTTCCTGCCTGCAGTATAGATAATTCATAACACGTTAATGCAGCAGGAGTTGCTCGCTCTGCTGTCTCGCAGCACATGGAGGCTGCACGTTTTCCTTCTGTTTGTGTTGATGATCAGGGTACAGTGTCGTGGCAGGCTGGCATGTTCTTTGCCTCCATCTCGAGGCTCGCTGAAAACCCTTATGTTTGACGAGATTTTCAAAGCATTTGACGTTACCAGACGCGCGCACCAACCGGTCGAGAAGTCACGTTGGAATCGTAAACCTCTAATTCACAGTCCAGCGCGACTTCTGGCTGATATTTTTCGAGGTGTGAATCAGAATCGACTTTATTGACCAGGTACGTCTGCATGTACTAGGAATTTGTTTTGCTAGTATTGCTGCATGTATTCACAGACAACACAGAACATAAATTAAGAAAAATAGAGTAAGTAGAAATAAAATGAAAAATAATACTTTAGTATGGAAAAAATATGGGTTATAACCAGGTCCCCAGTATATACAAATGGTTTTATACCCTGAGAATGGATGTACACACACACACAACAGCAGCAATATGCAAAATACCCAAGTATTGCTAGCTGTTTAATGGTGGTTGTTTTAATGATTTGTTTCTGGATTAATTTTAAATGTAGTATTTTTGCTATGCAAGAGAGAATGATTTTGGTTTTTAGCACTAGGCATGCAGTAATTTAGACATGATAAAGGCTATTTAGCCACCAGTAATTCATGTCTGTATTGTTTATCCAAATGATTTGCTCTGCCTGTTGCTGCAGAATACAGAGTGGCGATGACCTTTGTGAACCACAAACACGCTATTTACAGAATTATCAATTTCTGATATTGATCTTGTAACAAGAGGAGGATGTGAAATCCTCTCATTCTTCCTTCTTTCTGTATTATACCATTATTTGTCTGTCTGCTCTAAATACAGTGCTTCCTGCCTTTTGTGTAAATGCAGGTTAAGCTTATGTCAAGTTGTTCTAACCTACTTTTATATCCTAGAGTTGTAATGTACTTTTTGTTAATTATTATTTGTTGCTTTTTTTTTAATTTTTTTTTGCTTTGTTGTATAGTTGGTGAAATTAAGGTTATTTGGTCAGTAATACAGCAGAAGGATTTCCTTGAGACTTGAACTGGAAACCTTAGTTTGGCCGCAGTGCTCCCTGGTTTGTGTTGTGTTGGCCAGGATTTGAGGTTCCTGTGTTTGAAAGCAGAGCATATGCCTGCCGTTTGTTCTGTTAATGTTACTCTTACTGCACTGGCGTGGGAAAAGCTTTATAGCTGCAGGCCAAAGTAGGTTGGTCCAGTGCTTCGCCTGTTGAATGCCCAGCGGTGCCTCACCAGTTTAGATAGTGGCCTGCTCGTGCTGGGTGCGCAGCAGTCCGGTTTGGCCCTCGTCAGGCAACCTCACAGTGTGCCGTCAGAAATATTTCGGTCCTGTACACAGAGTCTGGCCCTTGCAGAAGCATGGAGGTTTCTGCACTCTGCCTATAGTTTATGAAGTCAATACAGCACTGTTAGGGTCACTTCAGTGGAATTAAGTCTAGTTAGTATCTTCCTTCCCATTTGCATGTCTTGATACAAGCCTTTCTGCATTACACATGTTGGCCAAAATGTGTATTTAAAAAGCAATGAATCGATGCACACACAGTTTTTTTTTTTATGAGTCCCAGGGTGTGTGCCTTTTTGGCATGTCACTGTCATGCCGCTTGGGGATCAACGGTAAAGTACTTGTTGTTGTTCTTACCTTTCCCACCTCTAGTTAATGCAGAGAGTATATGCGGCTTGTAGTTACGCAGGATGCGATTCTGCCTCCGTCGTCTTAAGAGTTTGAATGGCGGCTCAGCTGTGTCTCAGCTCGGCTCCAGCGTGTTTGTTTCTGCACCGTTTTCAGTTTTTCAGCGCGAAGGTAACTAGGGGCATGAAGCCAGTTCCTGTGTGTTGTCAGTGTCTTGACAGGAAGACAGATTTGAAACCGCTCATAGTGTCATAAGCTGCAAGTACGAGGTCGCCATGTTGGTTTACATTTGTGATTAATTAGAACATAGCAACGGCATAGTATTAGGAAACATTATAAAGCGATTGAAGGCTAAACTTTGTGTGCAACAAAACCACAATATCCTGAATAAACGCTGAACATTCAGTGTGTGTGGGCTTGATATACCACCAGCTCTGTCATCTGCAGTACATATGAACTAAGTTTTTGGTGGGAGGGAGGTTTCTCCCTCCCACTATTTTCATGGAAGTGAAATGCTGTCTATAGTAAGCAGCCTGTCCTTAACTTGAGTCTTTGAGGGCTATGGAGTGCACTGGTTTGTGGTCTGCTTCAGCTAACTCACTCTGCTGTAATAGTTATTTCATGTAACTTCAGTGGTGTGTTATGTAAAATTTTGGAACTAAGTAAAATATAGGTGAATCATTTACTGTGGTAGTTGATGGGGTAGGTGCACTATTAAACAATAAAGCTGTCCCATGTTACTGTCATATTATTATTAAGGTTTTGGGGGTTGGGGGGAAGCTTTTTACATCAAACGGGTTTCAGTCACTATCTTGCATTAATTGAAAACTTTGGTGAGATTAAAAATTTTAATGGGAGATTTAAGAACGCTGTGCTTGTCTTGAGCACCTTTGTCTTATAGGGTAAACTAGCCTTTGTACCCCACCCCCTCAATTAAAAAGAAAAACACCTATTTTATAATTGCAGATTAGGTAAATCTAGTGTTAATTATTACATGATTTTTTTAAATTACTATAGACATGTACAGATTATTAGATCACATAATTAGGCAATAAGTAAGTTGGTGGCTGTTTAAAACTAGCAGGGAATTGGGTGTGGGTGACCTGTGCTGTGAACGGAATGGCTTTCACAATTAAAAATCTAGAAAAAGGATCTGTCCCTTCAGATGTGAAAAGCAGACCCTTAGATAGTAATGTTTCTGTCCGTTTGCAGGGTGATGTTCAGTCTGTGAGTTTGAACGGCTACTGCTCCACCTATTGGAGCTTTGGCTGTATTTGCTTTCTGCCTTCTGCACTGTGTGGGCTGTATTTCTGAATTCTGAAGTCCGCCGCTCTCTGTGAAATGAAGGTTTTCTGTGATGCAGGCATTCAAGTCAAATTGAGCTGTATTGTCCACCTTGTAAGTAAAGAAATCATCTGCTGTCCATGCGGTATGGAGGCTCTGCCCGATGAGTGGCCTTTTACCCTCCATTATTCTTTGTTATTGAGCAGGACCACTGACAAGCTTGCCAAACAGACGCAGTGCTGTGCAAAGCCGTCAATTTGAAGATATGAGTCTGTGCCATTAATAGTCCAAGCCGTGTAATCGGGGACTGACGTGTGGCTCTCTCCCCTTCCCCCGAATTTCAGAAACTGTCCCTGAGTCATGGCGGACAGGAGGCTAGAGGAGTCATGTGAAGAAGCCTGCGAGTCATTAGTGAGGCGGGAGTACGAGGCGGCCGTGGGCCTCAGCACGGAGGCGCTACTCGCGCTCAGCCTGCAGGCCCCCAGCCCCTCGTTGGTGTGTCTCCGTGGCCGCATCCTGCTCTGCCGCATCGCCGGCCTGCTGCAGCTGGTGAGGCCGCCTGCACATGCACGTCTGGTCTGGTGACACATCTTACTCATATTCCATGCACCCCCCCCCCCCCC